GGATAGACATGAGAATGCCATGCTCACAGATCTGGTTAAGAGGACTTAAGGGAGATTGGTGCCCAGTACAGTCAAGACTCGCACAATTCTAGCTTTTTGAGGAAAGGATGTTCAATTGCCTTTGGAGTCTCCTAGATCAAGTCAATGGGCAGACAATTGCTTTAGACCTGCAGCTATTTTGCCCAGATCCCATGCTTCTGATATTAATTCCAGTTTTGTTGTAAATCCTGTATTCTTTCTGGTCTCCTGGTCTCTTGAGGCAATTGCTGCTATGGTTCCAAGCCATGGAGGTTCCATGTAGCAACATTCAGATTGGTGACACCTTTCCGCTGACCTAAAAAACACCTTCAAATGCCTGCCTCCATACACATGGAAGATATATTATTGATTCTCCACTCCTGCAAGCACTTAAACTCTGCAGTTTCTGTCTTGACCTTACAGAGCTGAATACAGTACAGTGCTTCCTGCTGAGTGGACTTCAGTGAAATATATTACTGGAAGTCAGTCAAACTTCAGTGGACTTCAATAGGAGACAGGTGAATAGGAGACTGTTCAGGGTCTGAATTTTTCATTGAGATCAGCGAAAACCACTTACTAATTTGAATGGACCACAAGCTGAGTGTATCAGGAAATCTTCTGAGCCCTCTTGAGAATTACCTGGTTATTTTTGGAGGATTACCCAAGATGGGGATGCTCTGGAGTGGCAGGACTTTAAACTTGTATGAGAATTTATCAGGTATTATTAAGTGTCAATTATTCATATATTTTAGTAGAAATTTTTTTTTCCTGTAATCTTTTGTAAGCAAATCTCATTATTATGCATGGTTGAATTTGTGCTTTTTCTATGGCTGTTTCACTTGGTGTTTTGAAATATGCTTGAATAGTTTAATTTAATGTAAAAACCTGTGCATAAACCTAGGAAACTGTCAATGGAACTATTGTCTCTTCAGTCTGCTAGACAAATAGTTCACAACACGCTTGTATGGGGTGGTGATTGCCAGAGCCTGTTCATGGTGACAGTTGTTGGCTGTTCATCTCTTATTTCTGATTAGAAACAATTGTAGGTCAATCAGTTGCAATTTGGTTACTGGAGGCACTGTGTTGATTTCTGTTGATAAAATGTGTGATGGTGTTTACTGGAATAGTTTAAAAAATAGTAGATGTGTTTTCAGTTTTCTCAAGTTTGTCATAAATGAAAAATATTTGTTTTCTCATTGCCAACAAATATCTATTATCCATGATCTGTAATTAGGCTCACAGCTTAATGTAAAGGATGAGTGGTGCTCGCTGAACTGCATCATTGGCCTTACTGTGGTAAAATGACCAATTTTGTTTCACCAGCTGTGACTTTGGAGGCGGGTTGAATGACAGGGAGCACATAAAGCTCTACAGATTAAAATATTTCCGGCATACAACTGTGTGTGTATCAGTCAGAATTCAGCAACAGTTCTTGCTTGATAAGCTTGCTAATGTCTTCATGTTCTAAAGAACATTGTTCTCCTTTGTGGGGTGTCTTTTACAGTCTCAACCCTGCATTTCTTACTGAAGCAAAACTCCCAGTGAAAAACAGCATGACCATTGAACACAATTTTAGAAAAACTCCTCACAAGGGCAATGTATCTGCCTAAGGAAATAGAGCATGTAGTTCTGTGACTAATTATGAATTATTGAAAGAACTAAAGGAAAAAGACACAAAGTTGGGAAATAAATGGTTGATTACTTGCCTTGCATCTAAAGAAGACATTTTCAAAAGACAAGCCCAATTATAGCTGCTTTTTCCAGTAATATTTCTATCTACTTCTCACAGTGTCCATCACTCGTAATAGAAAATAAGACTATGTTGTCCTTCAGCTTCTTATACATGTGACAAGGATGATTGAAAGGTTGCATGCAGTGTGTTCTAATTTTATATGAAAATAGTAGATTAGGTTATGTCAAAAAGAGGTAGCTTTTTAGTTTTTCTACGAATGTGTTTTGAGTACTGCAGAATCAGCCAGGTGTTGGCAAAATGCCATGATGTTGGCTGAGGCAAGTATACAAAAGCTGTAGAACTCCATATGTTGGAATTAATATAGTCTGGAATCGCAAATGGCCCTAGTTTGATCCTTGAGCTGAAGTGGTCAGGCAAGCGTTGTTTCTCTGTGGTTTAGCGTCTGATCACGTATATGAGTTGTTTTACCTTTTCTCTTTAATGTGATATGAATCAAAATATGAATTACAGGTATCTAGTGGATTATTAATGGATTATTAATTTTAAACTGCAAAAGACTTGGTGTGCTCACAAAAAAATACCTAGAGGTACCTTTGCGTATTTTGCCTTTTCCTGTTACCCTAGAACTCGATCTTGAGTCTTTACTGCAGAAATCCACCTCTGGAGGTGCCATGGAAGCAGTGGTGTTTTCTGCTATCACCACGAAACAGTTTGTAGTGTCTTAGGCAAAGTGAAGGTAGGAAGCTGACACTCTTATACTCCTTTCTGGAGTCATTTATGGACATGATGCTGGAAAAGGATGAGCTGATTTTTTACTTTGTAGTTAAGGTAATGTTTTTCTTCAAGGGTACTTCAATGAAGTAAGGTTCTGGTTTTGTTTATCAGCTCAATTTTATAGATGGGGTACCTGAAAAGCATCAATTTAATGGCCTAAATGCAGAGGCCCACTAGTTGTATGTTTTTACTACAAAAGCACTAAGAATAACATAGTATCTTCTGTCAACAAATACAAAAGTATCAAAGCTCAGGAAGACATCTGTAGAGTTACAAATTCCTTGGTTGTGTTGATTTGGTTCAACCTGCGAGAGAATAGCTATCAGTGAGAGCTTAGCAGCTTAGTAACTTTTTAGACAAAACATGTTCTGTATGGTTAAAAACATGACTTTCTCCTTTAATCATTAACCTGGAAATGACTAAATGTGTTTCCTGAATCACATCTCTGCTGATCTGTTCTTCCGTGATGAAATCCCACCTGTTTCCATCATAACAGCTGCAACTAGTGTAAAGTATCTCTGTGTCTTTTTCCTGAATGTTCCTTGTGAGATTGTTAACAAAGCCTCCAAAACATATGCTTTTTGTAAGCACCATTGTTATCTCCATGGGAAGACTTTGAGAACAGTGTGAACAGGAAAGACAAAACTGCATGTTTCATGAATAGTAGCAGCTTTTGAAAAAGGAAATTACTTTGCAGTGAAATTCAAAATTTCACAGTAAATATTCAGTAGACATTCTAAAAAGAAATACACTGTACTTCTCAGTACAATGGAAGTTGATGTTACCAGAATTCAAAATGTCAGACAGACTACCATTCCTGCAGCATAAAGACTAATAACATATATTAATCTCAGCTGGCTGTTCCTTAAAGCTGTCTGCAGAGGTCACATATGTGGGATGTGTGGACTGATAACCATTTAACCATTTTCATCACAGAGAAAGATGTTCTTAAAGTTTACCTTTCTTTGATAAAGGATTTTTTTTTCTATAAGTGTATCTAGAAATAGTTTTGTTGGGTTTGGTTTTGGTTTTTGGTTGTTTGGTTTTTTTTAATGCTTATGAAATAATCAGATTCTGTGATGTACACGAGCATATGAGCCTGGTAAAGGGGAGGCAACCCTGAAATATTATTTTCATTGAAAATAACCAATCGTATTTTTTTCCCTAATGGTGAATTTGATAAGTGATGCCCATCTGAAACATTCTGGATTTCTTCACTTCATGAAAAAATTGTATTCCCTTAGTCCCTTAGAGAAAAGTAATAACACAGTCATCTCAGCAAACTTGTCAGCCTGCAGTGTAATTTGAAGGCTGCTTTTGTTTTGAAAAGATATAGATGAAAAATAGTGGTCAAGCTACACTGCAATTTTTTTCAAACCATTTTGCTTGTATTTTTTAGAGTAATTGTTAAATGGAACTACTCTTTGAATGAATATGCATGAAAAATTCCAGACTATTGAGCAAATCAGCACTAATTCATGTTGTTTATGCTGTTTGCCTTTTTGTTTTGTGAGATGTTTCCAAGCAGTGTTATGCTGTGGAATTTGGCCATGCTATAAATGAAGTGATTCATGATACAATGCAGAATAATATTGTGTATTTCTGTTGTAGAATGTCTTATTGTGATTTTTTTCTCTGCCAGTTCAGTAAGACGTGACCTTCAAATGCAGCAAAAGATAAATCTCTAAGTTTTGTAAAACACAAGTGTAATCTCAAAAAGTTAAAGGAAGCATCAGTACTTAGCAAATTTTAAGTTGCAGAGGAAACCTCTGAAGGATAACATAGTATAATATAGTGATTTTATGAACAGTTCCTACTCTAAGTTGGTCCACTTAAATTTGAGCCTCTTAAAATTGGTTCACTTAATATGACCTATAGGCCTTGCTTTGTATGTTTATGTAATCAAACTGTAACAGTAACAATTAGAAAGGAAAGGAATTATTTGCCAACTAACGTGGAACTCATCTGAGTTGAAAAAAATTGTTCTTAGGAAGGCCATCTTGCTATGTAATGTAAAAATACTGTCTGCTAAATGTCAGTTTAAAAATAACATCTATTTTTAACAGTTTTAGAGTTTACAGTGTCATACAAACTGAATATAGATTGAAACCCAGACTGAAAATCCTACAGATGGTTGACAGTTCAGTAGTTCCTATGATATCCATACTTTAAAAGTTTGGGTAAAGGGCTAAAGTGGTGTGATGGCAAGGTTAATGCTGCATTTTCATTTGGACTGAATTGAAAGGGAAATGTTGGGAAGTACACTGAACTGTACTGACTACCAACTTCAAAGGTATTGACATAAAAGGAGAAGGACATGAAAAGAAAGCTGTCAGTGAATGAGCAGCAGCAAGAAAAACCCACCAGGCATCTGAAGGGGACATGTAGATGATTTGACTATTACTTTCTTAATCATCATTTTCTCCCTAGTGGAACTAGTATCATCTTTGATGATTATCCGTGGGATAATTCCAGTAAACATTAACATTTTACATCCCAAAACTTTGTTTTTCAGAAATCCTCCTCCTACTTTGCTACATCCTGAAAAATGGTGCAGAGGATTCAACCATTTCATTTCACAGTGAGTTTTATTTTCTTATAAAAACAGCTTATTCAGCAAGACCTGTGTGTGCCAATCTGAAAACAGAATTTGTTTATGGAGTTGCTGCTTTTGCAGGTTTTTGATTTCAGTTTTCTTTTCATAGACTCTAGACCATGCTTCACTTTTTGAAAGCTATACAGCACAATTTGATCTTCTTATGTACTTTCTTCACAGCTTCTCTGAACTCCTTAGTTGATTTGCTTCTTGATTTTGATGGAACTAGAACAGGTTTGTAAATATACTTGATTTCCTTGATGGTTTTGCAGTGAAATTTTGCATCAAGGAGAAAAAAAGGATTAGTGATAAGACTGCTGGTCAAGTTAAAATAAGAAAGATAAGAAAGAACATAATAGCCTTGTTTCCACTTTACTAATGTTCAGTACATTGTATACAGCTCTCACCAAACTAAAATATGCTTTTACTTTTCTTTTTCTTTTTACAGTAAAACTAGGAAATCACAGTTTAGTAGTTGCTAGCATTATATTCAAAAGTCTTACAGCAACTTTTATGAGTGAATTTTAGTGTTCTTCAGTATTTCATCAGGACCTATTACAGCCCAAACTGTGTAATGTGGGGAATAGTGTTATAAAACCCTTGGGAATTTTACACTGATCAAATAACCAAATACTTGAACACTGCTCCTCGGTGCTGAGTCTTCAAGATCGGTTTGAAAATATGCACATCTGCATTTTGCGTCTGTTCTGTTCCTTGATGCATGTAGTTACTTGTAGAGTACAATATGCCTACCTGATATTTTTTCAGCTAGTTGTATAGTAGTGTCTTTCCATTTTAGGAGAAGTTAAAAATAGAAAGACTATTGCAAATTTTATTACTAATACGTGAAAAATATTATTTACTATGCTGATCTTTAACTGGGCAGGCAGGTGAGGTACAGTGTAATGTTTGGCCTACAAAGGAAGGCCATTACTGTCATTGCTGCAATGTAACTCAGAATCTCTTCCAGTGCAGGTAGTAGAAGTACATTCCTCTAGAGCAAATTGACCCAAGTTCTGGTTCTCTGTAATGCATGTCCTTGTTTACTCCGCAGTGTACATTGTGATCTGTAGCAGATTCAGTGTTTAATTGCAAGGTCACCAGGTGGTGGATGAATTTCATTCTGTTATAGGAAAACATGGGGGTTTTTGTACTTAAAGACCATAGTATATTTTCTGGGGGACTCTATGACTCTTGGTTTATATTCCACTTGTGCTTTAGAAAGTCGCTGCACCTGGTAAATAAGATCACGTTCCTGTCTCAGAAATGTTCTGCATTAACCTTTAGTGTTGTTATGTAAGTTTTTCTTTCTTGGTGTCTTCCCTTTTAGAAATCACCACTGAGCTTGAGAACAATACAAGAACTCAGTAGAACATAACATTTGTTCAGTTCAGCATGCACTGTTCATAAAACAAGTCCGATGCTGTATGACTAAACTTGTTTTAAATCTAGTCTTTTGGGGTTTTGATACCTTCAAATTGTATATTTTTAATCACATGGGTTATTGTTTACTTTTGCTTAATTACTTCTTCATAAGCAACTTTTGCAGGTTCTCAAATCTTGCTTTTCATTTTTACAGTAATGTGCACAATGAAGTAAGGAAATATGCTCATACACAGCCTCTTAATACGGAGAAATGCAACTATTGTAATAAATGTATTGTAGCTCCCATTAGAGAATCCTGAAGTGGAATTCTCTGTGATATTATTTGGCTCTTGGGCACATGTTAGTAAAGTTGTCGATACAGAAGTTACAAGGTGTTTTTATGGAGGCTTGGATTTACATTAGTGGATTTTCTAGAAAAATTTAAATAATGAAACTTTGGATCATACAACTGCAAACCTTTTAGCCATTACTTATAATTAGCTCATTTATATGCATTAGTTATGCATTTGTTGATGCCCACCTTGTGACAGCCTGGCTATGATAAATTAAAAGCAGTGATTGTATAAATTCCAAACTGCCTTTTATCCATATGTTAGGACCTTGCCTGATGTTTCTGTCACCCTTGTGATGAGTGGTTAGCTTTTGAATAATTTCATTATCTACCTCCTTCCTGACTCTAACGTAATTTGCATAACAAGCTTATCTAGTTCAAGTCGTGGACCAGACCTGTGTACTAACACAAACCAAGCATACAGCTTTGGCTAAGCATACCTTTGATTTCACTTCTGTTTGCGCAGTAATTTTATTTATTCCAAGATTACCAAACCTGGTCACTGGGCTTTTTTCACCCCACATTCTCATCCCTTTAAATGCCAATGTCTCACGAGGCATTTTTGTTATAAGTGTTCTCTCACATATTACAGCGATTTACAATATGCCTGAGCTGGAAATTTCAATATACTGTTGCTGGTAACTCTTTAGGCTGTTAAAATAGTGACCATATATTTTTCAGAAATGAAGTCTGTATTTTTAACTATGATACTACTGCCCCAAGAGAGAATGATTTTGCAGCAGCATTTTAGTCAGATGCAATAGTAACAAAATCTGAATGGAGAGAGTGTCAAGATAGTTCTTAGCTTGGTGAATATATGTTTCTGTTCCCAGCATTGTTGACCTTGACTTGAGATGAAGGCTGCAACATGTTGTTCTCATAAGGATTTTTACAATGAGGGTAGTGAATCCGAGTTAGATATTTTGTTTTTAAAAAGTACAGATAAGAACAATTTAAACTGTCATTTCTGGCAGCGGCCTGATTTTGTGTTTGGTGTCTACTAAGATGTGCAGCCCATACTTCTAAAAGATCAATAACGTTCTGTGTATGTGTATTTATCTGTACTACTGTGATTTTGCATGAAAAACTTGGCACTCCACTCATAATGTGAGAGATGAGTAATTATCTGTTTATTTTATCTACATATTAATAGGACTTACTATTTCTATAAGACCATGTAAACAACCACAGCAGTTGTTGGAGGATTGGCATCTAAAAATAATATACTTTTATGTACGTTTATTTTTGTGCTAAGGTAAAATATCTGTTTTGAAGAGTTCACTCTAGTCATTTCTCATGAATATTTATGAAGACTTTTTTTGATGGCTACAACATAGATGACATTGCTCTCATAGGTTAACAGTTTGTGTTCACCGCCATTTTATACATACAGTGCTTCAGAGTTGGTTCATAAAATAATAGATTAAAATGAATAAAAATTACTATTCACAAAATTATCTTACATGCTGCAAGTAATTTTCTTGGCACTTTAAAACTTGACTGATCCCTAGGGGTAAATAGAAGAGTTAATGTGTTCTTGGAACAGAAGAATACAATAACTTTTATTTACATTACATCACAAAATGGTAATTTTAATTAAAATGAGCAGTGGTATCTCCAGAGACAGACATTCTCCTTTTAAATTTATTTAATCAATGATTAGCTATTATGGTTCTTTGAATTAATTAGTCATTCTTGAGCTGGAGGGAATTAAAGAATTAAGAAATTCAGGAAGTAATAAAGTCAAAATATGAAGTTAAGGATTTATGGTCACATTTATCATCAAAATGTAACATTTAGCAATGACATTGCAAATACAATACAAATATAATTTTTCATCTTGATAAATTCACTTTTTGGTACTCAATTTAAGCATGACTTTGCAAGCTGAATTCTATATTGATGAGTCTACATTCAGATTTATTCAATTAATAGATCATCTAGATTACTCAGGTTTTAAATGGTCCGTTTAGATTTAACTTCTCTGAATGCAGACAGGTTTTTTTCCACAATCTAAGCGATTGTTTAGTGACATTCCGTCCGTATTGCATAAAGAACATTTTACTGTTTCTGTCACTGAGAACATGATATGCATTTGACATAACATTAATTTCATGGTGTCTAAGAGGACAAAAAGGTTTGCAAATGTAAGAAAGATACAGACTGTCATCACAGCCCGTAAGGTTGTAAGGTTACCACCAAATCTTTAAGTTTTTGCATTTCATTCATTGATGTAAATTCTCAGAATCTGTCTACAGATGGACTTGAAATGCTAAATTCTTGTACCTCACAAAAGATCTCCACCACTTTTGAATAATGCGTGAAATATATCTTTATACAGAGGAATGGACATATATAATGAACACAATTATCTTCTACTTTCTATGAGCGGTTGTAGTAAAAAATCTGCCTCAAATTAGCTGCACACTCTAGTGTCAAAGTGGGATAGGTACCTAAGGGAGAAAATTTGGTAAAAATGCAAAGCATACTGTTTCTAATAAAAAGTTTTGGTTGTAAAAGGTTCTGAAGGCTCTTTGTGTTCCTGGGTCTTCAAGGACAGGCCAAAGGAATAAAGCAGACCCATTCCTGATGAAAGACTACTCATCAGTTTCATCATACAATAAGTAAATATATTTGGTGGTTTTAAGAGGCTCCCTAAAGTTTTTCTGTTTGTATTTCTGTTGTCACTGGTAAAAATCTAAGTATTTAAAGGAGAGCAACTGTCTGACCCATGCTGGGAGCTGCAAGAGGTGCCACTCCAGAGTTTCCATTGTTTGTTCTCTAAACCAGGTATATGAACCAAACTAATTTGTTATGCTTACTTAGCCCAAATAAAACTGGGAAACCTGTTGTAATTTTTGAAGATTTAGAAGACGTAAGACTATTTAATACACCTAATTTTACAATTTCAGATTATACTATATAGTGCTTGATGTTGAATATTAAACTGAAAGATTTATTAAAAAAAGGTGCTGGTGACATTTCAGTGTTTGAGTATTTGTCTCGTTGTTAGGGAGGATTAGTAATTTACAGCATTTGCTACCAAAAGGCAGATCAATAATGTTGTGTGTTCTGGCCACCAGAATTTATACTACACATGTGATTATTGAGTTCTTTGTTGTAAATTCAGTCTTTCATCCTGATATCTGATTGTAGCAGAATGAACAGTAAAATCCTTATCATTTATCGTGGGATGCTGTTCAAGACAGGAGACCTATTTAACCTACATACATACCCTTGGTGCCCAGGGTTTGCTTTTTGCAAAGCA